ACGATAACTTTCCGTTTAATGCTAAAATAAAAGGGATAGAAAGGGTTAGAAAGCAAGTGTAAAGACTGAAGCTTTTCAACTTGTGTTCCACGTAATTCGGCCCTTCCCACAAAATTCGTAAATCCTCCACTCGTTTTAAGTGCAAAAATCATCACAGACAATTAACTTAAGAAATAACAGGTAGCCCTGGTCGTGATTAGAATTCCTCCAGTGCGATTCACACTCGTACAGTTTTGTAAGAGTCTTTTTTTATGACGTGTTAACCATAAGGCGCATCAACATTTCTTAAAATAAATGAGCTTTGACTTACGTTTACAGGACTAACAGCGAATTCATCGGCATCACTGACGACATCGTCGGTACCAACCACATCGTTATCGTCGACCGTAGAAGTAAGATCTTCAACTTCTGTTCCTGCCATTACGTCAAAAACTGCGAGAGCAAGGCCCTCTTCAAGTTCTGCGACTGCCTCAACAATACACACATCGTCTGTAGCAAGCACATCTTTATCGTCGACCGTAGAAGAAGGATCGTCAAGTTCTGCTCCTGCCATTACGTCACAAACTGCGGGAGCAAGGCCCTCTTCAAGTTCTCCGACTACCTCAACTATACAGACATCGTCGGTAGCAGGCACATCTTTATCGTCAACCGTAGAAGTAGGATCGTCAAGTTCTGCTCCTGCCATTACGTCACAATCTGCGGGAGCAAGGCCCTCTTCAAGTTCAGCGGCTTCATACACAATGCAGACATCGTCGGTAGCAAGCAGATCTTTATTGTCTACCGTACAAGTAGAATCGTTCAGTTCTACTTCTGCCATTACGTCACAAACTGCAGTAGCAAGGCCCTCTTTAAGTTCTTCGACTGGATACACAAAGCAGACATCGTCGGTAGCGAGCACATCTTTATTGTCGGCCGTAAAAATAGGATCGTCAAGTTCTGCTTTTGCTATTACGTCGCAAAGTGCGGTACAAAGGCTTTCTTCAAGTTCGGCGACTTCATACACAATGCAGACATCGCCGGTAGCAACCACATCTCTCTTGTCTACCGTAGAAGTAGGATCCTCAAGTTCTGCTCCTGCCATTACATCAAAAACTGCGGGAGCAAGGCCCTCTTTAAGTTCTGTGACTTCATACACAATGCAGACATCGTCGGTAGCAAGCACATCTTTATCGTCGACCGCAGAAGTTGGATCGTCAACTTCTGCTCCTGCTATTACGTCACAAACTGCGGTGGCAAGGCCCTCTTCAAGTTCGGCGACTTCATACTCAATGCTGACATCGCCGGTAGCAAGCACATCATTATCGTCGACCGTAGAAGTAGAATCGCCAAGTTCTGTTTTTCTTATTACGTCTCAGACTGCGCTTGTTAATCTCTCTTCAAGTTTTGCGTCCGCATACTCCAAGCTAACAACGTCAGAAGCAGCCACATTTAAAACTGTATCATCATCGCCTATTGCTGGAGTCTATTCACTCACTTCAACACAAGCTGCGGGGATCCCAAGTCATTCCTTTGGAATATCTTTGTCGTCGATTTCGGAAGTACGATCAGCAACGTCTTCGATATCTACCACGTTTTTATCTGTTTCATTGACAAGCCCATCCCCAACCCCTTCAGAAAGTTCCGGAGATGCTATTTCGTCGAGAGCTAGTTCATCTACGATACTCGAAACATTCAGCAGGGTTTCTTCGTCTTCAAGTATGACAGTGGGTTCACCTTCATTCGTGACGTCAACCAGCTCTTATATATCTGTCACATTTTCAACAATTACAATTGCAACACCAAAACCAGAAATTTTGAAAACATTCCGCGTAACAATGACAATAACAAACAGAGAGTATAGCATAGCTCTCGAAGACAAAAAAGGTACGAAATTTAAAGGCTTAGCGGAGGAAATCCAGAATGAAGTTTACAAGGCACTCGGAGGGCTTGAAGGTTTCGTGAACTCGACGGTGGAGAAATTTAGTGAAACTAACAGCGTTCGATGTCAGCTAAGTGTTATTTTTAACTCGTCAAATATTGATGATGGAATGATAAGGGAGGGGCTTGGGGTTAAACTTGGAGACCTGGAAATAGCGAATGTGCAAGTTGTGGACAAGTTCACAACTACCACACCTACAGAGAAGGCAACCACTAAGAAGCCCATAGAAGGAGGTAATGTTTTCCAAGTCAAAATGAAAATATCCAACCAGGACTACACTGATGAACTTAGCAATTCGTCCAGCGCGAAATTCAAGGAACTGTCTAAGGACCTAACCTCCATCCTTACAAACGTTTTCAAAGAAAAAGTTAGAGGTTTTAGTCACGTAGTAATCGTTGAATTCCGAAAGGGAAGTGTTATATGTATTTTTCAAGTCTTCGTTACGAAAGAATCTGAAGTAACAGCTGAGGACATAAAACAAACATTATCAGACGCAAGAGACACAGGGAAGTACACTTTCACGGATATTACAGTGAAAGAAATAACGATGAAACAGACTGGACGGAGACTAAAATGGCCAGATTGGGCGATTATTGTGACCAGCCTTTGCGGAGTGATGCTGTTATTCATCATCGTCACTATTTTCCTGGTACGATAGCTAGCTAAGTCAGTAGTAACCTGTGTATGTTGAAGGGTAAATCACATTGAGCTGCATAGACACAAGGAATTCGCAAAGTAAATACCTTTTTCCGTCACTTTTCTACTGTGTATTTGAAATGAAAGAAAGGTGTCAAGTGGGTGAGGAATCCGTAGATATCTTAAGGAGTTTTACCGTCGTCATATTCGTTTTCCCAAAACTTATCGTTACTACACGATCACTTTGTTGTTTTCTATCGTTAAGCATTCCGTTAATGCCCTTGCGAAGGGAGACTTCCACATGAAACAACGCTAACTTAGAAGTGTAAATTGCAGACTTTCTCCATTAGCAATTTCAAGGTGTTCAGAGCGGAGAGGGAATTATTTACCCACAGAGTGATCACTAAGGGTTGCGCGTGAGGAGATTAAGAAAAAAAAGGCAGTTAATGACAAAGTCTTATCGCAATTAAAACCACTTTAGCTGTACCTGTTTGTTTTGGAACTATCTCTTTGGGTGTAAAATCCGGCTTATGCCACCAAGATTTATCTCGTTGAGGGCTGATTCGGATGAGTCTCTCACCCCCACCAAGATAATAAAACTCGTGGTAATTATTTCTTGTAGTTTATACAAATGCCTCACTAAAAATATGTCCCTTTTTTCTCAGATTTGCAGGAGAAACAAGTATCACAATGTACAGCTAAACGCATATATTAATGGCGGAGCAGACGAGATTGCTTTACAGGAAGTTCGTGAGAGAAAAACTACAATATATCAACAAGCAAAAGAGGCATCGGATAGATACCAATTACCTCAGCCAACTGAGAAAACCTAGATTATCAAGGTTAGCCTGAACAGGTTGTTAACGATATTTGGTGCCTGCTGAAAACGTTAAAGGAAGGTTCTACTAAGGGAATGAATATTAACACAGGTTGCGATTGGGGTGTTTTAAAACTGTTTAGCCAACCAGTTTTTTCAATGTTTTACTAAGGGAATGAATATTAACACAGGTTGCGATTGGGGTGTTTTAAAACTGTTTAGCCAACCAGTTTTTTCAATGTTCATCTCTGTTGCTTAAAAATCTCAATATAACGCAACATATTCATTTTTATTACATAGACACGAGTGTTTTACTGGAAAATATACCACTCGTAAAATTCATAAAAACTACATCCGGGACCCGAGTGGTTTATTTTCCATAATCTCATACGTGAGTTTATCGATGACGTAATTTCGGTAATTTCCCTCCATCATTTTATCAATGTCTTTTTGTCTATATAATAAAAAGAATATTACACGGCGGCTTGAAGATATGAATTTTATTTTCTCGTGGCAAAAACAATATTTTACGAACGAGCGCAGCGAGTGGGTAAAATATTGTTTTGCCACTCGAAAATAAAATTCATATCTTCGCGCCACCGTGTAATATATCTACTAGGAGTTTGGCATAGACAAGCACAGTTGAAGCTCTCCACAACGGCCACCTTCGGGACGGAAGAAAGTGGGCGTTGTGGAGAAGTGGCCGTTATGGCGAGGTAGGGGTGTAATACGACAAATTTTCCTTTAAGAAGTACAACACGTTTATTGTGCTAAGTTCATGGTTGCTATATACCATAATGGTAATCCAATCATATATAACATTTAGAGATAAAATTCACACACAAAAAAACATGAACAATGTTTTGAGCCAAAATGTTAACGTGACAAAAAAGGGTTCTCAACATTCGCTATAAGTACCATAGACAATTCACGCTCACTGCTGCAGTGAGCAAATATGGAACACAATTAAAAATACGATCGACTGCGTGCGGCGATTAATAATCAACGAACCGTACGGGTCAAATTTCATGACCATTCTTGACTTTTTCATCAGTCGGTGATGAAAAAACAGGCCGTTGTCGAGAGGTCACTAGGTAGTTGGGGACGCGCTCTAGTGACCGTTGCCGTTGTAGAGAGGTTTAAATAAGAGCTAATGTATGGACTGTCCGCCGGGACAAAAAAAAGTGGCCGCTAGTGGAAGTTTGACAGTAACTTCTGCGCTGAGGCGAAGTTGCATAGTGTGTACCGGCGAGTACTGGAAAACCTACGCAAAATGGGCAAGACTCTATTTACGTTAAAGGAGTCTGACGGCCGTTCTTTTTATCCTTTGAACTTAGATGGTGAGAGGAGATTTAAGAGTGACATGTGTACCAAGACGGTAAGTAAAGGCAAATTCAAGACTTTCGAACGGAAAAATGACAAGAAAGGAGCCGCACACTTTAATAGGGAGGATGAAAAGTAGCTTATTTAAGATGATAAATGAGAAAACCAGGTGTATGGGGAAGACAAAACATTAAGATAACATTAGGCAACAGATTAAGTAATGACAACGCAACGCTAACTGAGAACGGAAGAAACTTAACACAACTTCTGGTGTTCAATTTCCCGCTCTGCCATTGATCAATTCGGTTCTTAGAATTGCTGAAGCTGAAGTAACGTTGTTGTTGCTAAATCTACGTATTAACCCTTCAAGCTCCAGTATCTCCACACAAATTCTTCAGACTGAATTCCATACATTTCGTTAAGAATTAGTTGAGAGAATTTGTTTACAGATTAAAGTATTTGACAGTTGGCATGAAGCATTTGCAGCTCAAATGCATAATAAAAAGAGAGCGTTAGCAAACTGAGCAGCAGCACTGAAGAAAACTGCATGCATAAAACCCAGGGGAAAGTTGGATGCACTTGTAGCAGAGATGCATTATACAGAGTAGGCACTATTTGCGCTGGACTGCGAAACACCTATTCAAATTTAGTGGCATTTGGGGGAGACTGCATAATACCGTAAAGAGTGTTGACACTATTAGCAGCAGGGCTGCATAATGTATTAGTCGAGTTGGTAGTATTTGCAGCTGGGCTGCATATTAATGGCAAAGTCGAGTTGGTAGCATTTGCAGTAAGATTCTGAGAAAGAGGACACCAATGTCTGGCTGGATTGCCCGGTTATAGTGCTCGTGACAGTTCAGGCGGGCGTTTAATGCGCGGTTGCTATTATGTAGTATATAGTACCCTGAGAAAAGTAAGGTGGACGGAATTTGGGGCTAACTTCTTGAACAAGGCATCATTATTTCAACAATGTATAACACTCAGTTATCCTGATATGCTGATAGAGTTAGATGCATTCGCTAAAGACTGTATTTAAGTAGTTACAACGAAGTTTAATTATATCAGTACCTTTTTAGAAAAGAGAATAGCTTAAAACACTAGGTTTTTCAAAAGCATATAGAATAAGTTTATATTTGGTTTGTTTGTTTTTGTCATATTGTCGAACTCTAATAAATATTTTATGGATCCTACGAACTCCTTTAAAGTATTTAATATCCCTTTATTAGAAAAAAGGAATTTTGTATTGCACGTAATGAATTGCTAAGAGTTCACAAAAACAGATTCCCTTTTCGGTGTTTAAATAAAAAAGTACATATTTTACATCAACGTATAAATGTAAGTACATTTCAAAGAATACCTTGCTACATTGTTAAGTACTACTTTACTTTAGCTGATAAAGTCAATAAATATATTTTATAAATAAACCACCTATATATAGTTATCTACATCGTATTTGCTGAGTATTTCTTCTTTGTAGACTCCATCAGGCCCATTCGAGCAATAAATTATTTGGATGTGCCACTTAATTTTAGAGTGATTCTCCATTAGCAATTTCAAAGCAGATAAAATCCACATCTATTTATTAGACTAGTCCTCTATTATTTCTTCGAAACTCTTCTTAAAAAATTAAATAATCCGTAAAGANTCTTATATATCTGTCACATTTTCAACAATTACAATTGCAACACCAAAACCAGAAATTTTGAAAACATTCCGCGTAACAATGACAATAACAAACAGAGAGTATAGCATAGCTCTCGAAGACAAAAAAGGTACGAAATTTAAAGGCTTAGCGGAGGAAATCCAGAATGAAGTTTACAAGGCACTCGGAGGGCTTGAAGGTTTCGTGAACTCGACGGTGGAGAAATTTAGTGAAACTAACAGCGTTCGATGTCAGCTAAGTGTTATTTTTAACTCGTCAAATATTGATGATGGAATGATAAGGGAGGGGCTTGGGGTTAAACTTGGAGACCTGGAAATAGCGAATGTGCAAGTTGTGGACAAGTTCACAACTACCACACCTACAGAGAAGGCAACCACTAAGAAGCCCATAGAAGGAGGTAATGTTTTCCAAGTCAAAATGAAAATATCCAACCAGGACTACACTGATGAACTTAGCAATTCGTCCAGCGCGAAATTCAAGGAACTGTCTAAGGACCTAACCTCCATCCTTACAAACGTTTTCAAAGAAAAAGTTAGAGGTTTTAGTCACGTAGTAATCGTTGAATTCCGAAAGGGAAGTGTTATATGTATTTTTCAAGTCTTCGTTACGAAAGAATCTGAAGTAACAGCTGAGGACATAAAACAAACATTATCAGACGCAAGAGACACAGGGAAGTACACTTTCACGGATATTACAGTGAAAGAAATAACGATGAAACAGACTGGACGGAGACTAAAATGGCCAGATTGGGCGATTATTGTGACCAGCCTTTGCGGAGTGATGCTGTTATTCATCATCGTCACTATTTTCCTGGTACGATAGCTAGCTAAGTCAGTAGTAACCTGTGTATGTTGAAGGGTAAATCACATTGAGCTGCATAGACACAAGGAATTCGCAAAGTAAATACCTTTTTCCGTCACTTTTCTACTGTGTATTTGAAATGAAAGAAAGGTGTCAAGTGGGTGAGGAATCCGTAGATATCTTAAGGAGTTTTACCGTCGTCATATTCGTTTTCCCAAAACTTATCGTTACTACACGATCACTTTGTTGTTTTCTATCGTTAAGCATTCCGTTAATGCCCTTGCGAAGGGAGACTTCCACATGAAACAACGCTAACTTAGAAGTGTAAATTGCAGACTTTCTCCATTAGCAATTTCAAGGTGTTCAGAGCGGAGAGGGAATTATTTACCCACAGAGTGATCACTAAGGGTTGCGCGTGAGGAGATTAAGAAAAAAAAGGCAGTTAATGACAAAGTCTTATCGCAATTAAAACCACTTTAGCTGTACCTGTTTGTTTTGGAACTATCTCTTTGGGTGTAAAATCCGGCTTATGCCACCAAGATTTATCTCGTTGAGGGCTGATTCGGATGAGTCTCTCACCCCCACCAAGATAATAAAACTCGTGGTAATTATTTCTTGTAGTTTATACAAATGCCTCACTAAAAATATGTCCCTTTTTTCTCAGATTTGCAGGAGAAACAAGTATCACAATGTACAGCTAAACGCATATATTAATGGCGGAGCAGACGAGATTGCTTTACAGGAAGTTCGTGAGAGAAAAACTACAATATATCAACAAGCAAAAGAGGCATCGGATAGATA